ATTTAACCCAGCTAACTTTTCTTTTCCTTCATTCACCCTTTCTAACTTTGGAACAAAAAGGAGATGAGAACTACAGAAAGTGGAATACATCACCACAGAAAGCAGGTTCATCTCCACAGCACAGCTCAGTAGCATTGCAAAAGATGAAATGTGATGGTGTAAATAGTGCCTACGTTATAATGCACACAGATAAATGGGATGAATTAAAGTTTCACAACTAAACTTCATTTCTGGCATTTCTTTATCCGTACTCAGGCTTGCAATGAAAACATTATCTAAAGCAATTTAAAAATGTAACTTTGTAGGTTTTAAAAATGGAATCAAATAAATGGAAACAAAATAATTTTTTTGGAAAAAAAAAAATTTGTTCCTATAGAACCAGTCACTCAAGTCACAAGCAAGTTGGAAATCTTTAAAATTCCTGCATAATCTTTTGTCACTTGAGACAATAAGTATTTAGTAGCTGTTAGAGAGATTATCATACCTTAACAGACCACCACTAAAGGAGATAAGACACACACTTTATCAATACACTGAAAAAATAGCTACTCAGGAAAATTTTTAGAATGGTCAATCTTAAGCTTGTGACCCTAGGAAAGACACTTCTCAAAAACCAGGTAGGGAATCTTTCTGCCTGTCACTCCCTAAAGTCTTTCTGCTTACATTTCCTCTCATGTTCTTTTCTTTTCCTAACTTAATACTTGTTTCAGTTTCCACCTTTCCTCCTCCTTGGCTAGCCAACCCCAGATTTACTTTGTTTCAACTCAAAAGTCAGCTTTCCTGGATTTTAATCTTCTACTAAAGATTGTATGTCAGCAAGAAACCAAGAAGAGACACCCTATCCACCTTCACTTCTGTTACATGGTGCTACTGTAGCCAGAGAAAGCAATTGCAGGGAAAATGCTTAGCCTCTCTAGGCCTAAATTGGAATATATGTCTCTTCTATGCTTAAAAGAAGTTGCTGTTAAGCTGAAAATTTGGCTGTTACACTCAAAAACTCTTCCAGTGCCTCTAGTCTAATTTTTTTTCTAGTAAATTGCTGCTTCTAAAATATGCAACAATTTATCACCAAGTTAGATTTGGCCATTATTAATTGGTAAAAACTGGCACTGTTCTATCAGAAAAACACTTTGGCTTCCATTTCGTTTCTCGCCCTTAATCATGGAGGTGCTATAGCTTTTAAATGAAAGCAGATGAGCACATTTCTTGACAAAGGCACAATGGATTTTTCATCCTGATCCCATTCTTGGAGATAGATAAACCAGTTTGGGTTTCAAACTCAAAAGGAGAAAAAATCCTACCAAAAGCTCAACCCAAACTCCACAAAAAGCTGAGATATGTAGATCTGACAAGGTAGTAAGTAAATAAATCAGGTCTTGTAAGAGGCAGTGAACATCGTCTTAAATCAGAAGTAATGGGCTTCTTCTAAGATACAAATGTATTACAAGCATGGTTTTGCATCTCAAGGTTTTCCTGAGACACATGAAATCAACTAAGGTAGGTCAATGTATAGACTTAATTTTTGCAATAAGATCTTACACTTCATTCACATATATTTATTTTCACAAATAGAAAATATTTACAGCCACACAACACAGATTTGATTGCAGTTAATGCATTATGACCCCAACAGCAAAATCTGTTGGGAATAAAGATTACTTTGGCCCATCACTGCTATTGACAATGAGTTACAGCAAAGGTTCATAAAGCTCTGGTTGTCTTTGCACACACAGATATTTAACCAGAACAAAGTCATGAGCAGTTTCTACTGAGTCTATATGGTTTTAATAAATATGCTGCTTTTTAAAGCAGCAATTATATTGCTTCTTATGAGACATGAAGTGTTATTAGCTAAAGTTATGCTTTGATAAGTACTCGCTGTTATATGCACAGCAAGAAAACAGTTTTGAGCTAAAAAATTAAAAATAGGAAAGAAAAAGGACAGAGAAAAATAAAACAGGCTCATGAGTTTTCCAAAAAGAATATATCCAATAGTTATTTGAGGATTCATGCATCTGTTTAAGCAACTCCTGAAAATATGCATATATTGTATTGTATTGTATCCCCACAGTTGAGAAGTTAGGGACATGACAAAGTAAATTGGAATTTTAAGAGCGAAAGCTTCAGCTTATGTCTCATTTTTATTTATCTCCAAGGTTGGTTTTTTTTTTTCAGGTATAAGAAGATGCAGGAAAAGGAGAAAAGGACAGAGATTCATTATGTTTAATAGTAAGAAATACAGCAGATCTGTATGCACTGTGCACCATGCATTGGAAAAATGCAATGGAAAATGACATCTCTGATTTTTCCAAATACACGTTTTAATCGTAAAATATCATTTGATTTTTTTTTTCTCTCAAATCACCTCACCAAATCAAGCAAGGAGAGTGAAATACTTTAAAAACTTTAAGCTCTTGATCACATTTTCCAGGTTAAGTTACCTTAGATACTAATCAAATAAGAGCGAGTTCAAAAAATTTTAATCTATAATTTCTTCTACAATCACAGTTCTAGAAAATACTTTCCTAAGAATAAAGCTTTTCATGACATGGGTCACATCACTGTAAAAAAAAAAAAAAAAAAAAAGCTTATTTTCTGACTTTCTGACTTGATTGTTTCTTTATACATGAACATTTAGAATATATGGCAATTACAGCCATGTAAACTTAACATGATCTACTGTTTTTAACAAATTTAATGGAGTTTACCAGCTTGAACTTAGCACAAGCCAGTTCCATTATTCTATGGTAGGATAATTTCTTTGTAAGTCACTTGTGGAAAGTCACTGCAAACTTATCTGGTAGGTAGCAAAAATTAGTCCATTTGCTGAACAAGTTTCACTTGGTCACTAGATGCAAGATCATGCATCCAAGAACAATGAAAAACATGAACAATGAAAGCACGTCACACTAGAAAATGTGGAAATCATCCTCGAATTCATTTGTACTCTCAGGGATCAAGAATGATAGAAGACATACAGTTAAAATTGAACATCCAGAGTGACTGCAATATAAGCAGGTCAATAGCAAGTACGAATTAGCAGGACCATTTGAGACGCATAGATTAAAAAAGTGAAAAATTCAAATGCAGCCAGAAAAACATTAAAGAGTGCTTGGGAATCTCCTTCTACCTAGATTCTTTAATGAAAGGTTACGGAGATAATCAGTTTTCCATATGTCAATGTAAAAGAGTTATCTGATAGTAACTCTAATATGTGTTAATTCTGATTGATTCCCCTATTTGCTGGGGTATAACCCTCCCTTCCTTTAAATATGTATGTTACCTTTTGTAAAATACAGATACATGTAAATATCTGCTCATCCATTCCTATTTACCTGAAACTCTCCCAGAGCTGAAAGTCCCAGAAGCAGAACAGAAGCATGGCACAATACCTTTTTGGTATCTCATGGACTGCTGGTTACACAATACATCAGTATAACAGCTTATAAAAGGATACTGTATTACATCTTCCCTGAAAGTATTAAAAATGAATAAGCTTTTGATAACTCACTGCAAGTCTCCAGTGCCTTGCCAAACTTTATTAACGTAAGGATATCTGATGGAGAACCTACAAGTTGAAGGTTTGAACTGCAGGACAAGTTGTGAACTGAAACTTTTCGGCAAGACTAATTGGTTTCCACTGTTTATTTTGTACTCATTTCTGGTGTTAGGTAAATTTTGTGTGTCTTCTGCTTTCCAGTATCATACATGTCGGCTTTGAACTATGTTTCTTGGGTTGAAACTGCACCAGCAAGCTTGATGGCTGATATCTTTTCCATGTTACTAGAATTTACAAAACGTTATTTCTGATAAATTTTCAGTATATGAAAATCGCAGTAGAAAATGAATAGCATTCCATCTAGCTTTCTATAATATTCAGCTAGCTTTGAAGCATATCTGCAAAATAATCAATCAGCTTAAGAGTCTGAACGTTGGTTAAGTTGTATGTATTTATTGGGAGGTACCTACTAAGTGGCAGTTCACAATTTGCTTTGCACAAACTGAAAGTGACCATGTTTCCAGGACTGCTGAAGTCAAAAATCAACATAACTTTGAACTCTTAATCTAGGCATTGAATGCACACAGTAGATGCCTCTCTGATTTGCATTTGTCAATCTCTTCCAAAAAAAATGAGGGATCACATTAAGGTAGGTGAGGTGCAGCAAAAGTCTTAAAACTAAGCTGACAAAGGCACGTGCAGATGCCCAGCATGTACAGCATTAAAAAAAAAAAAAAGGGCAAATATATTTTAGCAGCACTGCATGAAGGCTGAAGCCTGGAAGACATGTAGATGAGGTAATCAGTAGAGACATACGCTGGCAGAGTTCTCTTAAGAATTTTCCTTGCCAGCAGCCTCTAATATGTACTATTCGTGTTTGTTCTTACTTTCAGGATTGCATTTTAGATAGCACTAAAGGTGGGATCCATCTCATCCATCTCAGAATGGAGGCCTCTTTCTGAACTGCCTCTGTCTTCCCTTGCAATCATGGAAGTCTGGATAGGTAACTTAGAGGAGATTAGATATCTAATGTTTAGACTGACAAAGCTAGGTGAGATGAATCCCAGCATCACTGACCAAAGTCTAAGTCATATTCACCAAATAAATTCCCCCATTGATGAACAGTTTTGAAAAGTTCATCTCTTCACCAAGGAAAATTGTCTCTCAGACTTATAACTACCCTTCTAACTGCCATCATCCTTATCTTAAAAAAAAAAAAAAAAATCTGTTGTTGAATTAAATGAAACACAAATGGCAAAGTTTTGACTAAACAAATGACAAAAGTTGTGACAACTCTGTTTTAAACCTTGTGGTAGATGTACTGTACCATTCCCCATGCAACTGAAATATTAACAATATCATATTAATCAGGAAGACATAATATTAGCTAAGTACTATTAATACAATATCTCAAACAATACTGTTTGGTATTACTGATTATAGCTACTACATTGTTAAACACAGCTATTATTCCTGACTGGTTCATGCTACGCCCAGATGAAATGCACCATTACTAGTATAACAGCCTCTTTAAATGTGTCTCATGTCATTCAAAAAACTACAGAATTAGAATTACAGAATTAATCTGAGGCAACATATTTTCTCAGGGTATGTTTTGAAGTGGAGTGTGAGGGTAGGCGCACAATCCCAGAGTGGGAGTTGTGTGCATACCAGCTACACACTACTTGCAAGCATTGCTTCTTTCTTCTGGGCTCTACCACTGACATTAATTCAGATTGCTCTACACAGAAAAATCCAGTAAGGCACTAAAAAAAAATACAAGGCAAAAGACACAGTGCACATTACATGCTACAGTATATTAAAGCCCAATTACTACAAGCATATAAAAGGTTGCTCCCAGGAATCAAGTCCTTTACAATAGCAACTACTAAGCCATAGTCTACAGGGTGTGTATTAGGTCTTTTATTGGGGCATAATCCAAACTTGTTCAACAGTGATGGTGAATTCAATACACTTTGAAACAATTAAATTACTCCTTTCAGTTCAAGAAGTGATTGTTTATCAATACAGTGGAGCAGCACAATGTATTTTATTCTGGGAGCAAGCAACTTCACTTTGTACAACACTTCTTCATATCGCTCGTCATGCCAGCATTAACATGCCTTCACCACAAGATAATATATACTTAAAAGCAAAAAGCGAAGTATAGGTGCAACAACTGCAGATCCTTGAAGATGCTAAGTGTTGCAGTAACTTCTCTGCAGTTGGATCATATTAATAATGCCAAACTGACAGGAAGCCACCTCTCTTTTCACATATCTACTCCAAAAATCACAGGAGAATTAGACTAAAAATGAAATAAATATAACACAGAACACAGGCAACAGAAAAGACACTGAAAGTAAGTTTGGAAAGTACAATGAAGAAGGAAATTGGAATGTCTGGACAATGAAATGGGTCTCCAAAGAGCACCACAGACAGTGAGAGAGACTGGTATAAGCAACTAGAAAAAAAAAGGGAGGGGAAGAAACGAGGAGGCGAAAGAAGAGGACGTGGAAGAGAGTGCCTTATTTATTTCATTCAAATCAACAGCAGCAAAATGGAATTTAAACAAGAGAGGGGCGCATAGCATGGCGTAGCAAAAGAAAATGCAAAACATAACCATTCCAAAAAAAGGTGAGAAACAAACACATTGAGTAACATCTTCATAAATAAGCTTAATAAATGTCATTAAAATGATTGTAACACATAGTACAAACTATCCATGGCACTTTCACTGGAACGGTACGATAGCTTTAATATGTACAGTATTATGAATAACTGGACTCAAAATAGGATCAGCAATGCAAGGAATCAGGCATTTGGTTATTTTTAATGGAAGGTGAGACTACAAGAGAACATGAACTACTGTACTGTAAGACGTGTTTTGAAGAAAGACTCTGGGGGAAGAAGGATATCAATGAAGGTGTGAATATGGAGACAATATGGCAGCACAAGGGCCTGTAAAGACGAAATATACATCGTCACGATACAATACAAATGAACAAAAAGAGAAAGAGATATGTTAACAGTAAAGTTTGGTTCTCAAATGTAATCATCTGATATAGCGATGGAGCCATATGGGAAAAAAAGTCCTAAAACTTATCCTGTTTTATTTTTTATTTCCTGCAAAGAAGTTAGTGCATGAGTCACAAGAACTAGTGGAGAGACAAAATGCTATTCACTCTCCTCTTTGAGATTGGGGGCTCATATATAAATATACATATATATATATATGTATACACACATAGACACATGAATATATATATATATGTACAGATATACAGAGAAAGATAGACAAAGGTGTTATCTTCCTGTGTTCTTGGCAAGGAATTAGTCCTGAAGTTAGAAGGAGTGGAGGTAGGATTGAGGTTGGAAGGAAAGGTAACGAAGAGGGCATACCGCTTTCGGCTTCTGCAAACGACAAGAAAAAAATTGCAAATCAAACACTTTGATAAGAAATCAACTGACACCAAAGTAAAAGCAAAAAAACCCTTTATTTAAAAGTCTCCAGGGCTCAAAGGTTTTTTCTGCTGAGAATGAGAACAAATAAATGGAAAGACAAAGAGAAAATTTAACAAGAGGAGTAAACACAGGGTGCAGGAGGGAAGAATCCTGATTAGGCTTTCCTTCTTGCTTACTCGTGTGCAAAAAAAAAAGAGACCAAGGGAAAAAGGAAGGCAAAAATCTTTGAAAGGGAATTCAGATGCAGGTTTTGAATGTCTGCATTTTCAATTAATATTGTTTCCTATTTTTTCAGTAAGTTCTGCTAGGACACTGTCAGGTTGATGCTCTCCATACTGCTTCATACTAAAGCATTTTTTTTTCCTGCCGAAGAAAGGAAACCTTCCTACAAATGGACTAAGAGCATTTTTTAAGCTAATGTATTTGCCTTGTATTAGGGACATAGAAATTTACTGAAGAAGTGCTTCCCGCTCACAGTAACAACGATTATAATATTCACAGATGCTAATTAGAGATGATGGAATGGCTAACTCATATTGTGACCTGAAACTGTTTGAGCGCAGACCTTTGTAGCTGCACAGAAACCCACTAAATTTAGTCACATTTTGTACACTCAGAGGTTTCTATGATAATTGAATTGTAACTTAAATATGATTAAAATATATATAAATGTAAATAAATCTAATCTTAGCTATTTTAATTAATTTTAAGGTACCTTGATGAGAAACGGTTGCATAAAAAGATCATAGATATAAAACATACTGAAGATTTTATCCATTATTTGAAAATGACTTTATATATAGCACACATATGAGTTACTACCTATCTTTGGGTTTGCAAAACTCTTTTTTAAAAGTACTTTTAAATTCTACTTTTAAGTAATCTTGTAAAATTATCGAATGTTTATACAATAACAATCTAATACTGTTCAAACTAACTATCAGGTTGTGCTTAGTGCATTGTTATTAGGATTCATGAAAAGAGCAAAAATAAAAAACACAATGAGTAGAAAGCTCAGCTACTGCTAACTGCTATAATAATATTGAATTAAATAGAGGTCTGATGATTTATAATTGCTATTGATCTCAAATTCCTCATGGTAGAGTTAAAAGAACTTGACTGCAAATTAGAAAGCTTTAGAAAACTAAAACTTAGGAGATTGTCTAGGTAGACAAGTATTTATGTCTTTCTGTGTGCAATTGAGACATTAACAAAGTCAATGAAAATTTTGCCACTGACTTAAACTCATGCTTGGATTTATTCTTAATATTGAGGAGAAGATTGAGAAAGCGGATTAAAGATCTAGAACCCCCTCACATTGCACTTTTGAAAGCTGCAAACACTTCTGAATTCACTTTGTGGTTGCTTTAGCTCTGAGTGCAAAGTGATGAAAGCAGATGAAACTAATCTTCAAAGGAAACTCCCATAAGTAAGTGAAATATCAGATATCTAATTTATTTATGGAAATATTATATTATAAATAGTGACAGAAATCAAAGTGGCAGAAGTAAGATCTTCTCACTACTCATTCAGAAAGAACGTTTCTAAAATTTTCTCTGGTTCTGAAAATACCGGTCCTGGATCTGCCTCTGCTATATTGGGAAATGTTAGTTCTTAAAACAATGGTGCCACAGTTACCACTGCTGCTATAAATTGTAAATTAGGTAAAACCCCTCAAAAGTTCTACAAAATGTGAAAAAAAAAACCATAATCATAAAATAAATCAGTACATTTCTATTGTTGGTCACTCTACTCATAAAGAGCAAAAGATAGAAGAGCATCATATTACCAATAAAGAACTGAAGATATGAAGTAGGATAAAATCTTGTTGCAGTCAGCATCAACAAAAATAATTGCTGAATGATAAATTTATCATATTCAATGACAGCTGCACTTCTAAGCAATACTATTCTAATTTTTATCTTGATCTTCATCTTTTAATTTAAGCGAGATGCAAGGAAACTCAAGCATTCATGCCTAAAAAGGGAGAAACTGAAGTTTTGTTCCATTGCCTTTTTGATTAAACTAAAAGGCTTCAGCTCAGCAAACCCCAAATATGTACATTGGGTTGAAGAGCACAGGGACAAGAGGAGCAGTAAAGACATGCAGCATGTCCTTATGAAATAGTTACCATAAGCATCCTAGCAAAATACAGATAAAGCAGCCTTGTGATTCACTTAACAGTGACCATAAGTTTATCACTGGTTAATAAAACCAGTAGATATTGCTGTGGACCTGGACTATAAGATGTGAATATCTAGCTTATACACTCTCTTGTTGTATAGGTGTTCAGAAAATCTCCAACTGCTAACATCCCTTCATTAGTATTGCTTCCTGCAATTTTTAGGCTCTTTTGTTCTATCAGACTAATTCATTGTGAACAGTTACCTGTGTGGCTTTAGGTAAGGAATATAATTCTATCATATTGTGTTACTTTTTGAAGTATCCTCTGCATCATTTTGTGATTAAGAACTCAATCCAAATCCCACTGAAGTTAGTGCAAAGAATGATATGGAAGCCGTGAATTATTTGTTATTACTGCAAAAGACTGTATTAGCACTTAGTAACTAAATGATAAGCAAAGTAAGGACAGTGCAAAGTTGGATAATTCTTAAGGGGAACCAATAAAAACCAAATATTTGTAAATACTGTAAATATAAAATCTTTTAAACAAAATGTTCAGAAGTAAAAGAATAATTACTTGCTTGCTTTACATCAGCTAATGCAGAATGAAGTCATTCAGTGAAAGAGTAATTATTTTTAGATGAGCCCATGGGAGCTGAAAATATTATAAAAATCTGATATTTCAAAAAAAGGATTTCTTAATCAGCATAGTGTGGGTAAAAAGAATACCCAGCATCACATACAACACCACATACTACTTATCACGTAACAAAGAATGATGTAAAACCAAGTACAGGGCAGGGAAGTACTCTTATAAACAGTTGTAGTATTATTCATTTTGTGCCAAATGCCCCACATACGTTTTAGAGATACTTTTAATAAATAAAAATACATATAAGAATAAACATTTAAATATGCCTTCAAAATCTCAGAAACAGTGGCATAGGCTCACATGACTGAACTGGTTCTCCTTTGAGAACTATTCCTCAATAGGATTAGGCAATTAGTTGCCAAAAATAAGATCACATAACATATATGGTTCCAGTTTTACTATAGCACTTCAGAATGTAATTTTCAACTGAGAAAAACTTAATAGTCAGTCCGACCAGATTTTCTGTTACATGCCCCTCCATATGTTGCTGACATACCTGCAGGACACATTTATATCATTTGTGTTATATGGAAATGAACATCATGTAAATACACTGATGGAGAAGCTGTTAGACTCTTGACTCCAGTTTAACTTACAATAGGATTCTTACAAACTTATGCATGAAAACAACACCAAAAAATAGTTCTTTTTCTGTTTGTGAACTGTAGCCACGAAATTTCTTCTTCTTTTCAGATGAAGAAAGAAATCAGCCAAATCTTAATTTCAAGGGTAAATGAATCTTTTCCCGTTTCATCTCGCTATTCACATACACAAGTTTTGTCAGAACAGATAATATATATCTATTATGTTTATCCTCTATTTCTGTTCATCCTATACCTCATGTAAAGTGGTTCTTCCAGATTCATTTACATGAAACCATTATTTTGAGAAATAGATATAGCCACATCTATTTTCCACTTTTTCCTTTTCAGTAAAAATAGCTGAATTACTGACTAGAGCAGACAGACTATCCTATACTGAATTAGGTCAGTTTTAGTTTAAGTAATAAATTGCACTTCTGGAGGTGGGACACATGTAACACTACCCCCCACCTTCCACTAAATATTCTATCTTAAATAAATTTTTGAGGACAAAAAGAATGACAGAAATAAACACCTTTCAGCACCATGTGAACTCATGTAATCTGAGGCATGCTAATTACAGTCTGAAATGCTTCAGAAGTATAACAGCTATATTCATTCTGAAAAATTAACAGGCAAAACTTGTGACAGTGCATTCCAAAACTTCAGAATTTGTAGTTACGGACATACCTGCTTTCTCGCTTTTCCGACTTGTATTCTATGGCTATCATTAAGAGCTTTAACTTCGCAAACACCAGTCTGTAGGAACAAAAGAAGCCAAGAGTCAGTCCTTCTTCCCAACCAGTATCACATACGTAGAGATCATTGAGGGGCATGAATTTTCTTTGAGAATTTTCACTAATGTCTTTTCACATTTCTCAAACAGGTGTACACAGAACATACATTAAGGTCTTTATATTTTGAAAGTAATTAACAGACGTTTTCATAAAACGATAAAACAGACAAGTTTACAACATTAGCATAAACATCAGTATTACTTTACTAAATCTACTTAAACGATAATAACAAAGGTCATGATGCATGGCATAAAATCTGCATTTGGCCATTGTGGCTGTCTAGAAGAAATTCTTCCAAACTGTGCTAGAATTTAGCCATATGTTGATTGTATCGCACATTCCTTAGACCATATGTATGTACTGATCTAAATCCACAGTACACTATTAATAAATAAGTATTTACCAACCACCGCCACAGAAAAACAGCATAATTGGAAGTCATTTCTGATCAATATATGGGAAGGTACATGCTGATAGTTATAAAAGCATGTGTGAATGGCTCTTTATTAATACAGCTCAAGGGTGATATTTTTCATAGACTTGCAGAGTTGTGAATTAGTACAGTACCATTTGCTTCCAGGAGAACTGAGAGTAAACAAAGAAACCAACCAATTCTGTTTTAATAACCAGGAAGCATCTGCATTCCAATTTTGTCACTGACATGTATGCACATTCAATGATACTTGCCTTCTGTACTATAAATTTGTCATTAATTCTTGCAGGGCTACCCTTTACAATTAGAGAGCTGCCATCTCGTATATCACATGAACTTTTTCAGTAAGATACTCAGTGTAGCTCTACAAATGTCACTGCTCCAGGGTTATTTCATATCTTTGCATGTGTTTCTATAATATTTATTTTCTTGGTGTTTATCTGAGCAATATTCTGCAGACTTTGCATCAGTCACACATACTTGACAGAAAACAAGGAACTGGCAGCTGAGCTGACAATATTCCATTTCCATAACAACTTTCAGAAATCACTGTGAGTGGTTCATTTTTGCTATTTCTTTTGGATGAAATAAAAATCAGAGATAAGCATTGATGTAGCGGGGGGTGATAATGCTGAGGCAGTGTGTTGTATATCAAAATACCAATATATACAATGGAATTTACTTTGTATTAACTTTTGTAATGTAATTCTTGAGTATAATTTTTTTCTTGAAAATTTTCCTTTCACAGACTTGATATAGCACATCCGTTCCCTCCTCCTTTTAGGAGGCAGGAAGCAGCCCAGTGTCAGGGAGATAACATAGGACAGCAGATAAGTGCAAGATTCATCTACCGTTTCTTAGAATCAGCTAAAACTCTTATCCTACCCCAGCACTTCTAGCCAATGCCAGAAATGGGCAGAAAAAATCCTGATAGCTACTCAGTTCCTGGCTAGCCCATCACCTCACACAATATTCACAGGAAAATGAAGGCTGACTATGTTTACAGTATTAACAAAAAAGGAGGCGGAGGAATGTTCAGTTGTCAAGGATACTAACAGTAGGGTATACTATATGTTGTATTAGGAGTATTATGTATCTGTTATAAAAAGATAATATAATTTTTTGGTTCCCAATACAGTATTATGAGCCAAGAATGCCAAGAGTTCTAAAAACTTACTTTTTATTTTGACCAACTACATTCCTTGAGGAAATACACAGAACATCTCTGCCATCTATTTGTGCAGTATTTGCTAATCTACATATGCCTTCCAAAAAGACACTACAAAGCGAGAAGCATTATATTACCCTACTATATTGGTATGAGTATGTCATTCCCATCTATAGAAAAACTAAAATATGTCTATATGGTAAAATAAACAGATTTACATGAACTTGGCCGTGCAATGAAACAAGAAAATACGTCTTACTATTTAATAGTACTTTGCAAATGTAGCCTTATATGATTAATAATGAGGATGATGCTGGTGGAAAATAATGAAAATGATGCACAGTGTTTGCCAAATACAGATCTTATCCTTGCATTTTTTTCCCCAATAAATACAAACCTTCTAATAAGAAGACAGGGCACTTTCTATCCTAAGAAATTATTACATAGAGGTCCACATAAATTGACAATAACAGTATGGGAAGCCTTAATTTTTATTTTATTTTCAGCTGCCAGCATCATCTGCTAACTACAGATGAACACAGATGTTTATGAACAAAAGCTCTTAAGAATTTGAATCCAACTGCTTCTATCTACCTAGAGAGAAATAAATTGGTTATGACATTATACCAGCCTTCTTGACTGGTAAGGCTAGTCACCGGCATAAATTAGCCATAGACACCTGCTGTGTTATTTGTACATGACGGTACTGGGATAATGACAAATTTAAAGAAATTATCACCCTCCTTTCTCAGCTGCAAAACATGAAGATATAATCTTGATTAATTGTTAGTTACTGAATGCCTTACCAAGTATAAAAAAGGATTTTAATCAGAAAATCTGCTGAGTAGAATTATTCCTTTTCAATAAATATTTTTGGAGTGAAACCTTTTACACTACATATAACTGAACTTGAGAAAAAAATAATTTTTTTTGTTGGGACTACTTTCAACAAAGGACTAGATAAGAGTCAAGAGAGAAAAAATATTTTCAATTATTTCCATTCCTTCGTTCCACTGCAGTTGTCAAAAATATTTTGGTAAAGGATAAATGATATCATTATTCATCTAATGAAAAATACACAGAAAAATATCATTCTTGATAAAGAGATGTATAGCTGTATAGCAGTGTCTTAAGTTGAGAACAATATTTACAATATTGGAATTCCTTTATAAATGTATTATTTTTTGTTCTTTCAAACTACCCTTTATGCTCAGTTCTCAGAATTAAAGTGCTATGATGCCTGGTTCTTGCCCTTGTGCTTACTAGTATGTTTGGTACTTTAAAAGTTCAAAGGATGACAGTTGCAGGTACTTTACTTCTAGGAGTAGCAAAGTCTAAAATCATTGTGGTTAATGAGGTTTGTAGGTTGGAATAAAAACAATCATATTATATTAACCATAAGGCAAACTTCCCTTTTTTATTGGTTTATTAAATTCAGAATCAGCTAATCTGCAGACATATGAAACTGGCAACATGTATGGGCAGCTTCTACTTGCAACTAACAGTTGGGTTCTTCCAGATGCTGAGCACTCTTGTTCAGCTCAGGTAAAAAAAAAAAATAAAACAAATACTTCAAAAGTAGAATTTCACAGAGCTACTCACAAATTTAAAATAAAGCACTGATGTGATTATTTTTTCAATCACTATCTTTATATGCAAAGTCCATGTGTGGGATTATCCAATCAGATATTTTGATCAAGTGAAAAGTTAAGTCTGTTAGCAGGTTTTGGGGGGTCTTTTTGAGTTTTACAGGTGTCTTACCAGATCTTACTTTTTCTTTAGAAGTGTCAGAAACTTTTAGTTCTGCTACAGAAGAGCAGATATCAAGTTATAGGAAGGATCAGATCTTCTTCTTTCTAACAGTGAAAAGGTGAATTCTATGGAACAAGGCTGTCTCACAGTTCACAAATGAAAAATTAGAAATGCTAAGGAATATAAAGCCACTGGCCACAGTGATTACCACATACATAATCTACCACATACATAATACAGAAACTACTGAAGTTGTTGCAATAATAGCTGTCTCCTGTAGTTTTATATAGACTAGGAGGAATTCATTGGCTACCAGTACTGGACAACTTATTCAAAAAGTAAGTGCTTATCTTACAACTATACAATTATTTCCACTCATCCTATATTTTATCTTACAGGACTATTAACTTATTGTTAAACTACAGAATGAGAACAAAACGTCTGACAAATCTGAGAAAAGATAAGAAATTCTAAAAGGTAAACCCAGAAATATAGAAGAATCAAAAAGTATGGCTGTGTGTGCGTACGTGTAATCATGCAGATGTTCCTGGATCTGTGATTGTTATGTATTTTGCATTGATGCAGAGCAGGAGTAACCCCACTGAGCTCATGGAATCATTAACACAGTGAAAAAAGAACCATGCTAGCAAGAGTTTAGTCTATTACACAGGCCTTAGATAAGTGGGCACTAGCAGTTCCATGTCAGAATACAACTTTAACCAGAGTCTCTGCTGTGAAGAGACACAGATAGTACATTTCAGATACTACTATTCAAGGTATTTCTTCCAGTTTAATCCCATCTCACCAATAAAATTAAACACAATTAGTTTTTATATTTTACAAATGATGCATCACTAACTGTAAAAAAACACCCACTGCCAGATTCACAGATTCACTGCCAGTGCACAGAAAGTGTTCTTTAAGCTTATTGCCAAAGCACTGAAGAATGCAATTTCTGATTTCTTTAGTCAGTCAAGATGCAAACAGATGCATCAGAGAGAAATCTGAAATTGATGAAAAGTATTACATAAAAACAATGAATAATGCATCTGCACAACAACATTTTAAACATATTTTAGTACTTTAGTAAACATTTCCTTGATGTGTCCAAAGATAATCTGCAAGTTTCATCTCTTTTACTGCACTTTGCTAAATCATGACATGAGGCAATTTTATCCGTGTAGGCTCATCATGGGGAGTATCTGGAAAGGTTCTTGTCTCCCAGGCTTTGAATGTTCTTCTGGTTGGAGGTTACAAGAGGCTAGATTCCCATCAACAGTGTAGCAAAAGAGCTGTTAGCTCTATGATGGGCAGAAGCTGAGGGTTTTGTAGGGGACTTTTATGCGCCTCTCCTACAGATCTAACAATTTTTATTAACACCTTTGCTGACTACCACTCATGTATGGCAGTGGACAAAGGCTTTTTGGGTTTTGGAAAAAAAGGAATAGGAGACCTAGATACTACGGGCTTATTCAAAGAACCAGAAGAATAGCTGGAAAAGCCACCTATTAAATTCTAGGAGATTGCATTGCGAAACACTTACATAAGTTAGAATAATATAAAAGATCGAAGTGGGCTCAGGTCTGCATAAAGTAGTTCAAAGAGACAAACCATTTTTAAATCTAATACAACCGTTTAACAAAAACAAACAAATAAAAGACTTCCAAGACTGGAACAAGACTACTAGAATAATAAGGAATTAATGGTAGTAGGAAAAGTAGACATCTGGAGAGACTACAGTATACCAAGTATACATTTTAGTACAGAAGCATATAGAGAATAGGGGTGGATCCCGATAAAGATCAGGCTCTAGGGGTTTCATAAGTCATTATATAAATAGTAATAGAGTAACATAAGTCACTCTCTGCATACATGTCTCTCCCTACATAAACACACTTAATAGAAATTAAGTATTTGTTCAGTTCACGTAAGTCAATGGTAGCTGACAAGAGAAACAGCAGGTGAAGAAATTTGCTGCTCATACTTGTGGATAACACTGCCATTACCAGGAGAGTAGTGAGAATGTCAGCTGAATATTTAACTGGTTTTCATTGCTGACATGTCAGCCTGATATGCAAACAATGAACATAAGACTCGTCAACACAGAGCACTCTATTTATTTTGTCTCCATAATTTCCACATCAAACATTATCTTAGTTTATGAGATGGTTGGTGATTTGAAACAGAATGGAAGCGCTGTGAAGCACTGTGGAACACAATGCTGCTCCAACCCGTATTTGGCTAAGGAGTTTCACAGACACTTGTCTTTCATGCCTTCTTTGTACCCTTAACCTGCAACAAGGAACTATCACTACAGTGTTCTTTCTGGCCTCCCATCAAATGTAATAGTATTGCAGTAAGAACACTGATAAGGATACTATTCCTATGGGAGCTCTACTGACAGTTTTAAGCACAAAGAAGTCCTGCTTGTTTTACAAAAGCAGGTATTGCTAATTTTCTAGATAGGAGCGGGAAACACAGCTGCAACGCATACACAGTTTTGTATTAATAAACCAGAATTTGGCCAGTAATTAATAACCTACAATACTTGAGGCTATAACTATTGCTTGCATCAAGTATAGGCAAAATCCACATGATCAGAAGCCAGGGTGTAGTAAGCACTGGTAATTGCTGAAATGTTAATGGTAACATAAGCTTCCATAATTTTAACTAGTGAAAGAAGAACAAACTCTGGGAAGTTCTAAGGCCTCTGATCTCTGGATACTTTCCTACTGAAGCAGCAATTTCATACTTGTGAACTTACTGAACC